GCTCACAAGAAAATTATCTATATCTCAATTGAATTTTAGTGCCATTAGTTGAAAAATAAAGAAACTAGCAGTGTGACATAGTATTACAGACAACAGTTGAAAGTTATTGGTTTAAGAAAGTTCTTTCTAACTGAAAAATGTAATAAATCAATATTCAAAAGATATTAATACAAGGTAGTTTACAAACAAAATTGTTAGTGTTATAAATAGAGACCAGATTTTCATTATATTACACATTTTGTTAGCTTAGGTGTAAAAACTTTAAACCTGACAATCTATCCATTTCATGATCTGTCGAATAACATATTGAAATTTCATTTTACACGAAATTGCACGTTTGTTATTGTGTAAGGGTGGAGGGATGTGACAGGCCCTTCTCATTTCTCCCTTGGAGTGGCAAGAGTTCCACCACCCGAGGAGGCGGAAGAAGAGGAAGCACCTTAAGGAAGGACCAGACAGATGTGGCACCATCAATCACTAAAGTGCACAACCATGTACACCGGCCCGCAACACAGTTACAGTTAACCCATTGTTTATTGTTCCTAAAATTAAGCTACCCAAAATTATTGTAAAATAAATAAATAAAGTTTTGTTTATTGGCAGCAGTGGGGAATTCCAACGTATTAAACCACTGCTGCCAAAACTTTCCATATAGCAGCAATGCCAGGTAGGGTATAAAAAAAAAGTTTTGGCTTTTTCGAGGTTAATTGCATGTTTTGGCCTTTTGTTGCATGATATTGCATATTTTAAAATTTAAGGACTAAATTTTAATTTTACCAGTATAAAGTAAAATACTTGAACTATTTTTCCTTTATAACATGTAGTACGTAGGCATGTATGTAAATATTTATTTACTTTTATTATATATTACATTAGCATTGTAGTTCAGAACAAGAGTGTCCAACCCATGGGCAGCATAAGGGCGGAAATAGTTTTTAAATATTTTGTTCTTAATTTTTTTCATTCAATATAACATTTCCAAGTTATGTTTCTGGGATGAAAAGATATTTTAGAGTCAATTGTTTGATAGTGGTAATAAAATTACTATCCGAGAACACACATTTTATATTATAAATAATAATATAATTGTGGGAACATATATAATAATTTAATTTAATGCAAGTACACATGGCCACTTACAAAGTCCATTATCCTCACGGTTCTGTTATTCGCAGTTTCAAAACATGTCTATATTTATTTTCCAGTTTTCAAACAAACAAGTATGAAATTATTTGTAAACAAATGTTTTATTGCCACTTGGCTGAATTGACAAAACTTAATTGAAAAAATTCTTTGACAAAACGCTGCCAGGTTATGGATGCGAGAGAGTATGGATTTTAATAAAATCTAAGGAGCTTAGCTCAACATCTAATTTTAAAAAAAATTTAAATTGATCTATAGCTGTAAAATCAAGCCTCAATTCAAAAATGCACGGTTTTATAAAAATATATGATTAATGTTTTGTAAGCTGCTTTTCTTTCATACAGATATAAGTTAATAGTCATTCATTTCAAATTAGAATTAGCTTTTCTCAGGTTACTACTCGTTATAACTAACTTGAATTTATAGGCTAAAACTTTTAACATAGGAGTAAAAAAGGAATAATGTTATAAATTAAACAAAAACTATGATTTTTGCATGTTATATATATAATTTTCCACTTTATGGGTTTTTACTGCCTGATTTTGTACATTTTGAGTTTTACATTGCACATTTTTCGGTTTTTCACAGCATGAAAATCTGGTCTCCAGTTATAAAATATTCATACTACAGTAAATTGAAACTTTGAAGCTCAGTTTCTTCAAATTATAGTTGTTGACTAACTTGAACTTGAATACTAATTCATGCTCCAATAGTCTATAGTCTAGTGGCTAGCATCCTAGCTTTCAATAGTGAACATTCCTAGTTCAAGACTGGTTTCATTCTATATCTTTTTTTGTTCTTATTTTATGATTATAAAATATAATTTTAAATTCATTCATAAATGTCTGATTCTAAGGTTTCTTTCTTTGTTTAGAACTTTAAGACAATTTTGTTTCTCTCATTATTTTATTATTTTTGTATTAAGAGAGATAGTATTAATTTATTTTGTAGTATGCACTATTTCGTTTATTATGTTGTTTGTTTTAATAAATACAAATTACTGCTATTCGTCATTTTATTTATCCTCAATGGATCTTAACATTTAAAAATTTAATAAGGCAACAAACAGTGCCTATGGATTAGGTAGAGCAGAATTGGCGGTTCACACTTGAACGCCCGCTGCCTCTACAATAGTAAATGCAGTTAGAGCTTTCCCAAACCAAGGCCACGAAAGCTTGAATCAAATTAAACCGATTAGTTTTTATTGTAACACTTAATTTTCCTTTTAATTTAAGCCACTCAAACAATAACCTGCCACTTTTTTTTAAGCTCCTCTTTCAAAGACTCATTATAAAATTGTAAACATATTACAATGCTATTTATCAATATAATAATACCTAATAATATAGCATATTTGTTATTGATGTAGAGATGGTTGACCGTTGATATAATATGAGAAGGAGTTAGTCAAGGGTGCGGTCAAATAAATAAAAAAAATTAAAATATATTAATTATTTTAATTTTTGCCAAATGACAAAAATTAAAATAATTAAATATTTTTTTTTTTTATTTATTTGACCGCACCCTCGACTAACTCCTTCTCATATTTGTTGTTGTTTTTTGAAGTAATTGTATTTAATTTGGAAATTGATTTCTTATCGGTAGCTGAATTTTTTTCTATATCATATTTTTCCCTGAAAATTATTTTCAAAATGGGGGCTAACTTATATTCGATCAAATATACCATGTATATTAATTAATAGACAGTAACAAAAATGTATATAAATTAGTCAATATTGTAATTAGGTTCTAGAATATTCACCCATATAAGACAAACTATGTAATTCTAGACAAAATTTCCAATAAAAAAGTTCATATGATGCATAGGCCGATTCCAAACGAAAAGGAGTTCAGAATAATTTTGTGTTTTTCTTTAAGATAGTCACAGTTTTTATTGAAGACGAAATTTCTCAAAAACTATTAAAGATAATTAATTTCTAAGTACACCATCATAAATTAGACAAAATTGTCTTTGAGAAAACATCAATTAATTTACTAAGGTCGATGATAAAAGGGACTTTAAAGAGGTCTAATACCGCTGCTTGCAGTTACAGTACCCATTGCCAAGTAGAATATTTCTGTAATCCCGATTCGTGAAGTAATGGTAGACTTTGCGTTATTAGAGCTCCTGAAAGTCACTTTTATCATTGACCTTAGTAAATTTAATCAATGTTATCTTAAAGGAAATTTGGTACTTGTTCATTAGCAGGCCGGGACTGACTGCTATCTGTCAATGATTATAACCTCAACACTGATAATTCGGATAAGGCAGCGATAAGCCTTCTTGTAATTTCTATCTTCGTATTATTGTATTATATTCGTATTATTGAAAGTGTAAACAGAAACAAAAACAAATGTAATAACAAAAAAAAACTATTATTTTACGACATATATATTAATGAAACAATAAAAAAACACTTAAAGAACATATGTACATATAAAAGAAAAAATATCAACACTATAAACCAAATATGTACAATTTCTTTTCACTTTGTCTTTTTATTTTGGTAGGCAAAATAGTTTTATGCTATTTAAATAGCGAGGAACGGGTCCTCTTCTTTGTGAACCCGCCACCACAAAAATTCGCATAAATATGAATCGAAGTGTTGTCTGGCAGTTCCTCTATGTATTTTATTTCTCCACTTAGCTGAGCCCCAAAATGGTATAATATATAAAAGATCAAAATGAAATAATAAAAAAACACTTAAAGAACATTGAAGAAAATAAACTAAAAAAAAAAAAATGAAAAATAAACACAAACGGGCCAAAAATAAAGAATTTAATAAGGGAATAACTGAAAAATAAACAATGAAATAACTGAAAGGTTTGGCGGGATAAGAAGAGGGAGGTTATGTAACGTGACGTTACATAACATAGATAAGAAGTGAGGTTTCGACCCGGCCTGCAAGAGAAGTAGTACTGGAAATTTTTTTTTACTTTATGACGGTGTACTTAGAATTTAATTATCTGTAACATTTTTTGAGAAATTCCTGCTTATTCAATAAAAATCATGACCACCTTAAAGAAAAACTCTTTTTCTGTTGGCTCATGCATCAAAAGAACTTTTTTGTTGGAAATTTTATCTAGAATCACCCCCTAGAGTTTCGCCATTGAGAACTGAGACATTCTGTATAGTATCACAATAAAATATTAATTTTAAAATACAATAAATATAATATATATATTTTTTAAAAATACCTGCTCCAGTTTTGACTAGATTGTTTCCTTCTCCTCCTTGTGAAGCAACTTCTCCATTTCTTCGTGAATCCAATTCCTCTGACGATATTGCCTTAATGAAGTTAGACTGTAACCGCTGTTTTTTAGTAAAAAATGTATGATCGTATAAATAACTCAGATCTAAGCCTGGATCGATTTGTATTCGGGGAAGATGAATATTCTTCAAATGAATTGTATCTTCAAGAATCCACTCGGAACCTATATATATATTAGCAATAAATAAACTTTATACATTTTAATTTAATCTATTAATTTATTATTTTTGCAAGTTCCATTAAAGATTCAATCCTTCGTTAAATCAAACAAGTTTAATATTAACCTTCCAGTGGGCACGCCTTTATTTGTAACACAGCTGCGCATGCAATGCACTATGTCGTCTTCATAGTGATTAATGTTAACACTAACTAGGGGGTCTACACTAACGGGTCAGGAGCAGGTAAAAGGGTAGCAGAAGGAAAATAAAGGTTAGATAAACAAATACTTGTGATTACCATGACATCTGAACACTTTGAGAGATTTGAAAGTCTAAAAACCGGGGATGGTACATTTCGTGCACCAGCATCCCATCTGTAAGGTTAAATATATAATTTAAAAAAATATGCTTAAATTTAACATTTTACCTCCAGTGCTTTCACACTCATAAATAGCAACACATAAATTGACGTATCTAGATTCAGGATCCTTCCTTGAAGGTCTCGTAAAGGATTTTCCGTATTTGTAAGCACATGCTATACGGCCGCTATAGGCTGCGCTGATGTTAAGTGGTTGTCCTGGCAGAAAAAATTAAATTATATTTTTCTCTATTTTACATAAATTGAATATTACTATATCGTAGCAACTGGTTATTACCAGGGATTTCAATGACGGATGCCTTATCTTTCCGTAGCATTTCCCATTCAACCCATTCGTAACTCATCTCAATCCGACCTTCATTATTTTTTCTTTTCTCGACATTGCATTTCCAGAACCTGTAAAAAAAATATATGTATATATTATGTTGTAAGATATTTGTATTTCTTGTATTGCTTAATTTTTTTTTTCTTATGGCTCTGAGGTAATGTGTATATACAGTGGTGGGATGTTAAGCATGAATACCTAATAAAATACTGCAGTGTACAGTGAAAAGGATCCTGCGCATACTGCTATCACTTCCTAATTCTCTATTCCTGAATAATTTAAGTGAGATTTCCATAATCTGGAGGTTTTCCTGACCATTATTCTATTTTTCTTCTGCGGGCTATATTAAAGTTGGTTGGATCCATCGTAGACTTGCAGCCATAAATGAATTTCTTGAACCGGGACAAGTTCTCCTCAATCACCATAGAGGAAACTTTTAATCTGTTGAACATAGTGGAGGCTAAAACTCCAGAACACAAAAGTGAAGTATTGAGTATCTACACCCTGGCCAAGAATATGTGTTCTAGCTCAACCCTCCCCCCCTACAATACCCTGTGAGGAATTGTGAAATCCAATAGTCCGGAATGATCCATTTTCAGTTTATCTGAAACTGGACAGTGAGAAAGTATTTTCTCAAGAAACTCCCTTTTGGAGTCGTCCCCCACTCCAGTAGTCTCATCCTGAATTATCTTTTCCCCTTTTATTAGGATTTTAATGATCCTCATCAGTAGGTTCACCGAAAGTCATGTTGTAAATGTACTTGGTCACTTGACTAATAGTTTTATAAAAGTAACTGAAAGATTTCTCCAAGAAGTGATAATAAAAATTTAGACAAATGCTGCAGCTATACTGTGTCAATATTGAATCTTTATAACATGAAATAATAAAAATTAGCGAAACAAGGTCAAAAATGTGGTGTTTCGCTCTCCAATTATGCATTATGATTTTCATTACGAGTTTATTCTATGAACCTTTGACACTGAGTAATGAAATTGAATTTATATATATATATATATATATATATATATATTCATTCATGTATGGCACAACATCCCGTTACCGAGACTGGGCCTCCTCCAAGAGCCTCCGCCAGTTGGCTCTGTCTTCTGCTGCAGCTCTCCAGTTCCGCACACCAAGCAGGGTTCTCGCATCATAGGCCACGTTGTCCAACCATCTCGTCCTCGGCCTTCCTACCCGTCTTACGAGGTGCAGCTCCTCCATCATTATTTTTTTTGGTATTTCAAGGGTGCTCATTCTGGCCACATGCCCTGCCCACCTTAGTCTGGCCAGTTTAATATACGTGACTACGTCGATGTCTGCATAGAGAGAACTGAGCTCCCTATTTTTTCTTTTCCTCCAGACATCACCCTCCTTTACTGGACCATAAATCCTTCTGAGGACTCCTCGCTCAAAGACACTCAGCTTCATCTCATCCCTTTTAGTCATCGTCCAAGCCTCTGAGCCATATGTCAAAACAGGCCGAACAAGGGTCTTGTATATGATCAGCTTGGTCTTCTTTGAGAGGTACCTACTTCTTAAGTGTCGGCCAAGTCCAAAGACACATCTATTGGCAGCCGTGATCCTTCTTTGTATTTCTTGAGCCATGTCATTCTTGCTATTGATTTCAGACCCAAGGTATATAAAACTTTTCACTCTCTCAAACTTAAAAGAACCTACCTCAAATGGAGAGTTCAGATCCACCTCACCGCCAACTCTCATATACTTAGTTTTCCTCTCGTTGACTTCTAGACCAAGTGGTCTTGCAGCTGCTTCAAGGCTTATAAACGCTTCTCTGAGAGCCCGTTCAGACCTACCTACTATGTCAATATCATCAGCAAAACCAAGAAGCTGTGTCAGGCGATTGAAGATTATATCTTTGGTCTGAATACCGGAGTCTCTTACAGCTTTCTCCTCTGCCAAATTGAACAATAGACAGGCGAGGGCATCCCCTTGCCTAACCCCACTGCTCACTTTAAACTCTTCGGAGTCGTCAGAACCGACGCGTATTCTGCATCTCGAGCTGTCCATGGTCATCTTGATTAGGCGTACGAGCTTCTGAGGGATGCTTAGCTCCTCCAAGGCACAGTATAGTTGCGTTCTATCAACGCTGTCGTATGCTGCTTTAAAGTCCAGGAATAAATGGTGGGTGACTACCTTACGCTCCATAGTCTTTTCTAGGATCATCCTCAGAGAGAACAGTTGATCAGTCGTTGAGCGTCCTCTTCGAAATCCAGCCTGATATTTCCCCAGTTCCTTTTCAGAATACGGGAGGATCCTCTCAAAAAGAATGTTAGAGAGCAGCTTATAAGCACACGAAAGGAGTGAGATTCCTCGATAGTTAGCGCATTCTGTTTGATCTCCTTTCTTATGTATTGGGCAGATAATGGCTGTTGCCCATTCCGTAGGCATAGCTTCCTTCTCCCAGATGGTCAGCATTAAATCATGCAGAGCTTTCTTGAGTTCTTCACCTCCACATTTCAACAGCTCTGACTGGATTCCGTCCGGGCCTGGCGCCTTTCCATTTTTCAATTTCCTCAGGGCGTTTTCCATTTCCTCCTCATCCGGGGGTTCAATAGAATTCAGGGAGTCTTCCTTCATTACACCTACTTCTCCAGGCACCGTTCCTCTGTTTAATGCGCCTTTGAAATGTTGTACCCATCTCCTTAGTACGTCATCTTTGTGGCTTAAAAGAGTTCCATTTGTGTCTTTGCATGCCGTCACTCTGGGCCTAAAAGCTGCCCTACCCTCGTTTATTCTCTGAAAGAACAGGCGACTTTCATTTTGGCCTCGCAATGCCTCTGTGTCCTCCATGTTCTTATTTTCCCAAGCTCTTCTCTTTCCGCGGAATAATCTCTTCTCTTCGCGTCTTTTTCTTCTATATGTTTCTTGGGAGAGCCTTGTGGGACGCTGAACCTTCTTTCTGTAGGCTTCATTTTTCACTTTTACTGCTTGAAGGCACTCAGCATCAAACCATGGGGGCCTTCTAGATTTAGTCTCGTAGCCAAGAGCTTCTTCTGCTGCCTGTTTCATTGCGTTGCTGCATCTCTTCCACTGTTCATCGACCATAGAGCTGTCATTAATTACTTCTTCAATAAGTTTCGTCTCCACAGCTTGTTGATACGAATATTGGTGGTCTGAGTCCTTAAGTTTAACCACATCAATCTTCTTCTTTGGTCGTTGGTAGTGGTTTTTAATCAGCGAAATTCGTGATCTGACCTCGGCAATGCTCAAATAGTGATCCGTGTCCATATTTGCACCTCTATAAGATCTTGCATTTATCATGTTGGACTTGTGACGGGCACTAATGAGTACATGGTCTATCTGTGATGCTGTTTGCCCATTTGGAGAGATCCATGTTGCTTTGTGGATATTCTTTCGAGGAAAAAGAGTTGTTCCAACAACCAGTCCGTGCAATGTAGCAAAGTTCACCATCCGTAGCCCATTATCATTACTGGTCTCATGCAAGCTGTGGGTTCCTATGGTCGGCATGAGTGCCACCTCCTTACCAACTTGTGCGTTAAAGTCACCAAGAATGATTTTAACATCATTTTTGGGGCAGCTTTCTGTCACGCGTCCAAGTTCTTCATAAAATGCTTCCTTATCCTCCTCAGGTGACACCTCTGTTGGGGCATGGCAGTTGATTAGAGAGAAATTAAAAAATTTTCCTCTAAGCCGAATGTAGCATAACCTTTGGTTAATGGGAGTAAATCGCATCACCAACTGTCGAGCTCTGCCTCTCACAACAAATCCGGTACCGAAGATGTGATGCTTTTCATGGCAGCTATAGTAGAGTGTATGGTACTTCTTCTCCATAATTCCCTGTCCTATCCATCGGACCTCTTGGATAGCTGCTATGTCGATTCTGTATGTGTCCACTTCTGCAAGGAGCGCACGAAGTGCTCCTAGTCTATGTAATGATAAAATGTTCCAAAATCCAATTCTTAGGTCATTTAGGCGTTTCCTGGGTCTGTTACCGTAATTCAGTCCGGCTTCTTCTCTTTGAGGTTTCGTAATAAGGTACTTTAGGGGGGTGGGTTATCAGCCCACTGCCCCCGAGTCAGGTAGAGGGCTGCCTCCTCCGAGCATCCTGACTAGCTCCCCCATCCGGGGCGGCTACCTAGGGAAGGTGACCCTAGGGTGTGTACTGTAGGTGACCTTTGTCTGTAGTGTTTAGGTGTTGTAGTGTGCTGTCTAAAGTGTACTTGGTGTGTGAGTGTTCGTGTAAGTGTTCCCCCAACCTGGAGGGCCAGTGGCTGGTTGCGGTACAATGACCGGGCGATGGGACCGCCACCTCCCTATGCCAATATATATATATATATATAATATATAAATATATATAAAATATATATATAAACCAGAGATTCTTAAACTGGATGCCATAAGCGTACACCACAGGTGCTGAGACAATAATATTTGTCACATCAATATTATATATTCACATCAAAACAGAAGAAATATTAAATATTAGTAGTCTCCATAAAATTGTAAATAGTTAATACTGTAAATATATATATATAAATTATTAGATCGTTCTTCATTATTTTTACTTCATGTTTATTTTCAATTTTTTATTTTTTAACCAATTAAAATTAGAAAGTAACTTATAATTTTTTTATTTTTTACTATGACAGTTGAATTACTCTGTATTTTTACTTATGTATCTCTGAGGCTCCTTGGCCCATATTTATGTCTTTCTGTATTATTATAATTTTAGAGTTGAATCAATTGTTAGTTCTGATGGCAATAGCTCTTAAATCCCACCATATGGAAAGCATTATCTACTTTGGATGCAATCCGGGTTTTGACATTCTTCTAAGAGCCTCACTACTAGATCCCCAAGATTTTCTACAGATTACAATATTGTAAAATATCCATTTTTCATCTCCTGTTACCAACCTTTTCAAAAAGGGGTCGTTTTGTTGCAGTTTCCATAGTGAATCACAAATAGAAATGAGTGATGCCAAGTTGACTTTGGTTAGAGAATGAGGGACCCACCCAAACATTAAGCCTGGAAACATAACCGAGTTTGACCAAATGGTTTTCTACGCATTTGTGTGACACATTTAGGTCCATAGCAATCTCTTGCACTGATTGAGTAGGATTTTGATCGACAATTACTGTTCAATTACATGTGGGAGACCAGACCGTTGAGCATCATTGATGTCGAAATTTCCTGAATGAAATTTGGCAAACCAATTTTGACAGGTGTGTTCGGTTAAGGCATCATCCTCATAAACATTACAAATTTTTCTATGAGCTTCTGCAGCATGCTTACCTTTTTTAAAATAATACAAACAAATATGCCGAAAATGAATGATATTTTCTTCCATATTCACAGTGCAATAGCAAACACAATACTATGCTAGTTTCAACAAGAGTTAACAGATACAGTTGTTGACATATTACAAACAGGATAAACAACCCACCTTAGGGATTAATTCATCAGATAAGATGTGTATCATAGTGACATAAAAATGAACAGAAAAACCTAAAGGACTTATTTGCCAATCTAATAAATAAAAACATAATTATAAAATAATGCTATTTTTTTAAATATGCGAAATTGCAGAAACCTAAATACCTCACAGTTGAGTCAGAACAGGCAGTCACTATAATGTACGGCGCAAAACAAGCTGGATAAATCGAAGCCGAAGAAAGATGGCCACCTGCTGGAGCAGCATGTATCACATCCACTCCATCCGGTAATGGCAGCTCTTGCATACAAACCTAAACAGGCAATAATTAATAAATTAGTAATAACCAATAATAACAAATTATTTATATTGTAACATCTCTTATATTTGAAGCTAGTAATATAACCTCGGAAGATCACTTCATACTGTTGGCATACTTCCTAAATAAATAAGAGGTTGTTAAATAATAAACAAAATTATAGGAATATTAATATATTAAATTGAACTTTATGATTATTTTATCTCAGGTATGGGTTACTGACAATAAGATCAAAACATTCAGACAAACTAAAATTAAACACTGATTTTAAAATAAAGTCAAGTATAGACTGGCAAGCTAACTTTTTTTCTATATACACTGTTTCTTCCTTTGTTGCACTAAATTCATTTGCCTTCAAATGCTTTCCTATGTTCTGCCAAACACAACTTCCAAAATGGTGACACTATCTTCTACTCGACTCAAGCTCCTGGGAGATCCTCTCTCTTGTGATTCCAAACAACTAGTCTCTCTGCCAAACAACAACTTCCAAGATGGTAATACTATTACTGGGTTTTACCCACTCGAGCCAGGATCCCTTCTCCCATCCACTCTTTACCCCAGCCAAACACCAACTGCGTCCCCTCTCCTCTTTGGGATTTTCCTTTCTGGGGAACAGTCATTTTCTTTTCTCTGCATTGGTATAACTAGATTAGCTTACCTTTTAACTGTTGAACATTAATTTACTAAACCCTTTTTACCCACTACCAATAAAGGTGTACGTTACAGTATTTAATGACATAAAATATCAAAAAATGGCTCCTTTAATTATAGTCAAAGTTGGAGAGAAGTTAGGGATAAATGAAAAAGTGATCCAGTATCAATTTTATCGAATTCCATCGCCTATTTTTGCTTTGGTATGCGCAAACATATTTTCTTCAAACACCTATATTTCAAAAACTGCTCATTCAATTCAAAACAATATCTTAAAGTTGGAGGAACTTTGGGAGGAACAATGTACAAATGGTCTGGTATCAATTTTCATTTGAAAGCTAAAATTAATTGATTGTTAATAAGAATATAATACCTGTTAGTTGGTAGGAAATAAACATACAAAAATGGTAGGTTATATAACTTTTATTTATTTATCATGCTTTTATTAGATTTTTACTTTCACTTACTTATATAGTAAAGTATTAAAATAGTGAAAATTTTCAAATCTCAGTTTCCAACTGAAATACACGTTTTGAGGTCCTCTGTGTCCAAATAACCAAGCCCACACAATGGTCTTTGTGTATGTCTATGTGTGTGTTTGACTGTCTAGCTCAAAAACGAAAAGTTGTAAGAAAGTGAAGTTTCATATTTGAGCTTTGTATATGCCTGGGATGTTATAGCAACTCGCTTGTCAAAAACGGCTAACCGAAAGTGGCACTTTATATCATCGATTTAACACATTTTTACAATTTTCTCTAACGATTTTGATAATATTCATTATATCAGTGAAAAATTAAGCAGTTTTCAATATAATGTAGGTTTTATTTTCAATGATGTCCCCTAGCAGGACTTAAATGGCTTCAGTTTTAAATGAAAGTATATAAGTATAAAATATGCGTTAGAAAAAGTACATGAGAATTTTCTTATGCACCCAATAAAAATGGTGAGGAAACTATACTGATTTACTTAGTAGAGGCCCCCTGCACTCCTATTTATATTTTTGTTTTATCTCAAAAGTTAATTAATATTTTATGTTGTAGTACTTGTTGTCATCTTTGAATAAAGGTATTTAATTAAAAAATGTATTTTATTAGTTTTTATAAAAGTATGTCAACAAATTGGAGCTGAGAAAAATTTAAAAATATAGTTTTTGGCAGCCATGCCAAAATACAGTGGATTCAAGCTACTTCTCCTAGATGCACTGATATTTTAAGTTTTAAGCTAAATATGAACTGTAGCTGCTACTGATTTCCGCCTCTTGCTGCATGGGACAACTAGTTCGTCTACCCGCTACCAGGCAGCACCATACAAGCTTGCCCGTGCAATATACTAAAAATTGTGTTTTTATTTCTTATTGTTATATGATACTAAAATATTAAAATTGTAAATTGAAATATGCATATACATTGTAAATACTTTTCATTCATAAAGTTTAATGGTGATAACATATATTGATCAAAGCTTCAAAAAAAGTGTTATTGTAACGGCTCTTGATAGCCGGTTTAGTCTTGGCGGAATGAATACCGCAGTCATATCTCAAATTGTCACGTCCTCGGATCTCCACCCCTTCAGGGTGTAGACCATCACGAAAATGATTAGCATATGCCTCATATACGCATTTTGATATCATCAATCTACTATTCTTACTTTACACTACGCCAATAACCATTATTCTCTTCTCATACTCCATGCAAGTTTGGACGCTGATATGTCCGCTTGTATTCCTATATACTTAGTCAGGAGATTGATCCCTCCGTTAGTGTTTCATCCTCCCACAAGTCCAGAGTTTGATCCCTCTGGTTGTGGTTACCATCCTTGGGGAGTTTTAAGGTTGATCTCTTACACCGCAGACCAAGAATGGTTCAGGTGCTGGTCTGCCTGAAACTTAAGGTCATCCTTCTACACATCTCCCTTTAACCAATAAGTCATCTTAATCCTCTATAATGAACACGCACTGTCGAGGCCTTCTGCTAACTGGTAACTCGCATACTCTCTGTGCACCCTATACCTCGACAGAACCTTTTTTTTTTATAATTAAAAAAATAACAATCTCAATTTGATATATGTTCGTTATCACTTGAATTTTATTACAGCTCGAATTTCTGAAAAAAAAATCTATGCAAATAGCAAACTACTAAATTGTATCCTACTTTTAAGGTGTTTTCGTTCATTATTGATTTTTTTTTTTTTTTTATATATATATATATTTGTTTATTTAGAAATATTACATTCTGTCACATCAAAGACATTTATAATAGTGTTCAGAGAAAGCACACTCACACTCTATTTACAATAAAAAAAAAATAATAATAATACAGAAACTTAATAATAATAAATACAATAAAATAAAATAAAAATAAATACAATAAAATAAAATAAATGTATATAAACAAAAGAACTAACCTAATCATACACACTCGGGCTTGAGTGGAGGATCTGGCCATTGCCAAAACTCCAATAGATGCTTATTTACAAAAGGTCTCTGGGCCACTGCCGCTTCAACCTTCGAGGAGGATTGTAAGGATGGGTGGTGCTGGATAGAGATTGTGCAAGGGGATTTGGATGATAGGTAAGGTTCTGGTGAAATTTAGAGAATTTTTCTGGAATAAGGTCTAGGACAAATGGGATATTAAGGTCATGGTGTAGGATTTTGTTATTTACATAGAACGGAGCATCAACTATTGTTCGAAGGACTTTAGATTGAAAGGATTGAATACGTTTGATGTTAGAAGCTTTTGCTGTCCCCCACAGTTCAAGTCCGTATGTCCATATACGTTTCAGTATTGTCTTGTAGATAAGTAATTTGTTTTCAATAGAAAGTTTGGATTTTCTGTTTAGTAGTCTGTATAGCTGGCCGTATCGTCGGTTGAGTTCTTGTCTTTTGAGTCTAGTAAGTGGGTTCCACGTTAGTCTTCGATCTAAATGAAAGCCAAGATACCGGATTTTTATGTTTACAATATAATATTTTCAAGTATTTTTTATTTATTAAAAGCTTAAAGTTTAGAATATAAAATTATAAAAATCCCATATTTTATTTTTATACTTTTATCATTCAAGATTTAGTTTGCTATTAAACATTTATTTGAATCCCTACCTGCCATCACAGAAATTAATTTTTTCAAACAAGACAAATAACAATAAATATAAAACTTGAAAACTATTTGAGAAATGCTTAAGTAAGGTTTCAAAGTATCTCATTTTATATATTATTGGTATAAAACAAACCTTTGTCGTAGAAATGGTAACGTGAGGACTGTGGCCAAACGCTGATGGATGTCCTTCTTCCTCCATTCCAGTTCCAGGGCGTCCAGATTCTCCTTCATCGTCGTCCTGAACTAGCCTACTGTCAGGTACATACATCATACTGTCTGTGAGATCTACAAAAAAAAACAAAAAAAAACATAAGAATAATAAGGTTAGGATTAATTTAAATACTAGTTGGCCCGTGCAAACAATTCGCAGATAATTTTGTTTAGTGAAGAAATATTAAAACAATATGGAAATAAGTAGTTCCTATGTATTATGTGAGGAAGGAATTAATATTTTTTCCTTAGTCGATTACAATATTCCATTAAACATAATAGACCAAAATATTTATACAAATTGCTTTGCTAGGACCTATTTTTAAACACTGATTGGAAAGATAATAAAAGTAATAAAGACAAAATAATGCCCTGATCATAGGATATTCTAAATTATTAAAAAAAAATAAAATGTAAGAACAACCAAATGTTCTTAAGAAATAATAACGTTAATATAAAAGCCAAGAAAAAAAAGTGTAGTAGACTATTCTACTCCTAAATGCAATATCTTTAAACAGGAAGATATTATTGAGTATACCAAAACTAATGGACTGCATCTTTGTTAATAATTGTCCGAATTTTACAATTATTTTTTTGTTTTGTAGGTAATTTAGTATTCTTTCTAATTATCATGGGTAAAATCCAGAGAAAAATGCATACTTTTTCAGTTATTCACAAATAAAGTTTCTTTTCCTCTCATAACTTTTTTTCCAGAAATTTCGGGGGGATAGGACTATTTTTCGCCTGAGAAGGAGCAGAATATCTTCAAAATGAGTAGTCAATCATTGGATTTAATGAAGAATTGAACAAGTTATGGCATACCAACAAAAAAACACCTTTTAGAAATAATATATAGGATTTATTTTTATAAATGTGTAAACAACCTTTCATTTGCATGTGGGTCTTGGTTATTTATACCCTTAAGTTAAAGTTATTTTCAAATAAAATTTGGGGCTCATGATAAAACTTATTTGAGGGTGTCTACTTCAGTTGGGGCTTCAGGGAAGTAATTCTTAGTGACATTGCGTGGTTAAGATAAGTGAACATGAAATTTTGGATTGGATGAATACACTTTGAATGAATTAATGTATGTTACAATACTTGTCAATGTAATGTTGTTACATATTTTCTATATTTACCTAAAACCTCGTATGCTCTTTTGTTATAATTTAAAATTTTTGTATTACATATAAAAATAAAAATAATATCAGGAGCAACACATTTTATGGGACTAATAATTGGGTCTGTTTGCTACTTGGGGAATGTTATTGATCTTTGTATCTGATTATTTACTATTTTTCCATTGTTATTTATATGACTGTTGGTTACGTCATAGTATTCCATTTTTACTTTATTTTAATTTTGTTTAACATTCCTGCATAATGTGTTTCTAAATGTTTAGTATCTGTTTTGTGTTTGTAATTTACTGTTATTCTATTGTTTTGTTTTTTTGTGATGTGGAGGGCTTCGAGTAATTTTCTATTGTTACTTTTTGGTTACATCACAAAAAACAATAGAAAACCAGTAAATTACAAAACAGATACTAAACATTATGCAGACATTTTAAACAAAATTAAAATATAGTAAAAATGGAATGTTATTATGTAACTAACAGTCATACAAAGAACAACAGAAAAATAGTAAATAATCAGATATAAAGGTCAATAACACCCCAAGTAGCAAACAGACCCAATTATTAGTCCCATACAATGCGATGCTCCGGATATTATTTTTGTTTTTATATGTAATAGAAAAACTTTAAATTATGACCAAGGAGCACACGAGGTTTTAGGTAAATATAGAAAATATGTAACAACATTACATTGACAAGTATTGTAACATACATTAATTTTAATAAAACTATTTTCTAGCAATTAATTGCAGATGAAAAATGAGAATAATTTCCCGAAACGTTAAATTGCAATGAATTAGAGCAAATAAACTAATTGTTATATATTTGGAAGTTTTTTTATTGCCAATAACAAAGAAAATCATTCATATATCAGCATTTTTATTTAGAAACAGTTTATTCACTATATAAAAAAAAAATAAAAAAAGAAACCTGTACCACTACAACTTATGAAGGGTCTTGAGTTCAGCACTATTTAGGGAAATCACTGTTTCTAGGTCAACGGTTGTGCAAGGAGGTGATTTGACCGAGATCACGCTCAACTGCCAGGTTTTCTCCCTTAATTAATTATTTAATTAAGGGTACCCACTTTATAGAGGCTGGGTGTGCCCCAGGAGGGTCACCCCACGGCCAATGAAACAGATAAATAAATTATCATATGTCTATTTTAGGCCAAAGGTCACCAAAAAAACACAGTTTTTTTTATCTCCTGTATGCTTTATTCAACGTTTCGGCTTCAGGACTCTGTATGAGTCCTGTATGAATGCCCTATTGAAGAACAATAATTTCTTGATATCGTCTGCAAATAGAGAAACAGAAAACGACATTCTTTGAAATAAAAGAATGAATTAGGATGAATCATATCGCAATGATAAATTTTAAAAAATTTATGGCGCGGTGCGTGTTTTGCAGGTTCTTGAAAATGGTTCCTGAAGCCGAAACGTTGAATAAAGCATACAGGAGATAAAAAAAAAAAAATGTGTTTTTTTGGTGACCTTTGGCCTAAAATAGACATATGATAAATTATGAGAAAATGGCACCAAACCCGAAGGATGTGACTAGACAGATAAATAAATTTTCTGCCATGAGGCGGGGTTTGAACCTGGGACCTTTGCATTGGAAGCTCAGTGCCCTACCACTGAGCTACCCCACTCCCTATTATTATTCACTATAACAATCGTTTAATAAATTAGGGCACAACGATCATTATCAGCAACACTCATGTATGGCTGCTACCACCTGCCAGGAACACTGTTCCTTTGTTCTTTGTTCACACATTGTCTATACACGCACATTTACCTAACAACTTGATCACTTTACGATTGGTTCTAATTCTTTGTGCACTCAATCTATTGCTATTATATTGCTCATCATTTCCTCACTCAATGTCACTTAAAATACATTCTAACATCCCCTCTGGGTGGGCATCTTACTAGGACCACAATACTTTAAGGCTTACAAAGTAGACTGTCCGCAATAAATGTTAAATAATGACAATAAGCTATCACCTTTAATTGGTATCCTCATTCCACAAGACAAAGAGGACATCAACACCATTATAAAGTAATAACTTTATTATAAATATGTAAGTAATAACATTATTATTATTATTATTGCTACTCAACATTTATAAGTACATAACGATTTCTTCCACAACCTTTAATAATGAAGATTATAATAAATACGATCCACTCACCACTATAATCTGGCTGAGAAGCGATGACAAGTCTCCATGTATGTATTGCCGTGCCGTGTGCTGTCCTTTCTAAAACAACAAGATAAAATGGCTCCTCGAACTCAGCAGACTGTTGGAGGTCGACCATGGCACTCAGCGATGACTCGATGAGACCTAAGCTGCCGTTTAGATTGTTCACCGAATTAACAGCCCTATCACTACTTTCTCTTTCACCAGATATTAACTGGGCTTGGAAAACGTGAAGTAACTGTGTATTTTGCCAATCCTACCAACATAACAAATTATTTAAAATTACAACTTTTCAATAACATAATATTATGAAATATAGATTAGTGTTACCTAAGTGTTTCTTATATTAATCAAAAAAATCAAAAACCCATTAATTCCAGAAAAACAAATTTTTTTAAAGTGAAAACTGTTTTAGGCGCCTTTTGCACTTTATTGTGGAGAGTGAATTAGATTGAACTGAAGGATTACCGATGTGTAACGCTCGGGTAAAGTTGGCTGGAGTTGACTAATTGAAATGTTTTTTCATTTGGATTAAAATATCTCAAAAACCTAAAATCGGACCTGCATATTGTTAGCAAGGATCATCATTTCATCCTCTTTGTAATGAGCTATTATTCAAAACTGTATCTTAACGAGACACAGTGTTAGAGAGGTGAAAATGAAAAAAATAATGTTGAAAACCAAATGATAACAAATTTTATTAAAGATATAGATTAAAATATCTCAGAAACTAAAAGTCGGACCTGCATACTGTAAGCGAGGGAATTGTTCATTATTTCATCCTCTCTGTAATGGGCTATTATTCAAAATTGTATTTTAACGAGCCACTGTACGAGACAAAGGGGGAAAAATTGTTTCGAAAACCAAATTATAGAGTTTTAATGAAGATATGGATTAAAATATCTCAGAAACTAAAAATCGGACCTAAATAATGTAGGTGACGGAATTGTTTAGCATTTAATCCTCTTTACAATAAGCTATTATTAATAATTTATATTTCATATTATCAATCTCGCCTTGTTGATGTTTTCACTTCTATCGCGTGGTCTAAAGCACAAACCTTTTTTTTTTTTTATCTTCTTTTTTTACAAGCAATGGTGGGATGCATTTAAGAGGATTTAGTTTCTGGGTATAAAATTTTCATTACTCGGACCTTTCATTGTATTTTTTTTATTATTATTCTATTACTCCTGACCTAGATATTACTGGCATGCAGGGAGTTGTTCTAGAGGTAAAACCAAATCTATTCTAAACAGAATGAGAAGGTCGAGATTCATTCCATGGATCCACCAAGAAATAAATTTCAACATGCCCAGGCTGGATTTAAACTGGCGTCGACCACCACAACATCCACTTTTCTTATCGTAGCTCACATGAATTTTGTTCTTGTGGAAATCTAAATAACAGCTTTCAATCATTAAGGGGGTGGGGATGGCCGAGCGGGTTAACGCGTGTGCAAAGCACCTGGCAATCCTGATAAAATAATAACGAATTTGCATCCTTGTGTCAAGGGGGTCTTTTAACTCAGGCATTAACCCCCAGCCCTTACTCCTGTATAGCCTAAAAGGCGAGAACCAAAAATAAATAAAAAAACAACTTCCAATCATTATAATTTTGTTTTTAATCCATTTGAATATGATTCCATCAAGTAAAACTAATCATATATTTGAGAGATGTTACAACCATTTATTTTTGTGATGTATATAAAAAGCAAAAATTATCATAGTCAATGGATGAGTAAGTAGGTTTTAGACTTTCGTATATTTTATAATTTTGATCAGATCAGGAGAAAATGATAGATAAAACAGATTCTTGGTTTCCTCGTAAGTGCAAGCATGCAAGAAACTGTTTCAATTCAATAAATCATTTTTGCTTAAATATAGATTCTTTACACCATACAGATGAAAGTTAAAATAAATTTTAAAAACTAATGAAAAAGATTTTATGTATTTATACCTCTAGGAAAACTAGATTATTTAAATTAATTGAGTGTTAGGAATATCGATTAAATCCATACTTTGTTTTGTTGACATTTTGTTATAATTATGTTTTAAAATGATTACTTACATGAGTAGCATCCGAAATTGCATCAAGTTGAATGATGCAACCTGGTCTTGCGGTAGACTGTTGAGAAACAATTTTTATTCTGTCGTGAAGTGTTCCATGTTTTCCTTCATCGTCAGAAGACATTTCAGTCGATAAGCTCATCAAAGATCCCTTTATTTAAAATAAACTTTAATTGATTAAAATATAATAACAATAAAATACAATATTACATGGTTTGAAATGAAATGAAAAAATAATTTTATTCTGGGACTACTGTCCCCTAAGAATAATAACAGAATTACAAATTTATGGGTCTTAGTCCGACATAATAATAAAAATACAAACTAATTTACTGTTAGTTGTTATTTCAATTGTGCAATAGATTGAAATTAAACATTGTACAGATGCAAGTAATTTTACATGTTAGGGGAAGTTTGAATGTGGAGTAGGTGTTGGAACAGGAGTTGTTTGAAGGAATTTGTGGACGAGGATTGACGCATGGAGGTAGGAAGTAAGTTCCATAAGGAAGCAGCACGAATGACGAAGGATTTGCTGAAGGAGGAAGTTTTATGGGAGGGAATATATAAGTCTATAGGTTGAGACCTAGTATTGAGAGAGTGGATAGAAGAGCGCAGAGTAAGGAGTTCCAGGATGTAGGGAGGGTTTTTGGTTCTGAAGATTTGGAAAAGGAATACACCAATGAGAAATTGTCGTCGGGAAGTAGGATAAAGCCACTTCAACTCGGTGTACCAGAGTGAAACATGTGAACGCCTGGGTATCCCGATAATGTATCTTATGAAACAATTCATGAGTCTCTTTAGTCTCATTTCCAGCCTGGCAGATAGCCCTCCATACACCAAACAGCCGTCAAAGTGGGGGAATACAAGAGAGGTTACAAGGAGCTGTCTGGTTTTTAGAGGAATACAATCACAGAATCTTAGGAGTTCTTTAAGGGCAGTTATGGTTTATTTAATTATTTCAAAGAAAACAGATATACAAAAGACTTTTTAATAAAAGATCACTACAACCAGCTATTCTGAAATTTATTCATAAAAGGTTTTCAGACAAAAAGTAAGTAATTTCCGAAATATACTTTTTTATATATTTTATACAATAAAAAAAAAGAAGAAATTGAAAATGTATTGTTGTCATCATTATACCAAAATCATCAAAATAAACACCAGTATGTCTACATATTTACTCAATCATTTGCTATAACAACTTTTATAATCTCAACCAATAGCAAAAAAGTTGTTAAATTCAACTTTTATTTTAGTTGTTCAAAAAGTTTGGGTGAACTTTTTCTTAATAAGTTTGGTAAATACTTTTAAAATCAAAATCATTTAAAAAGTACATGACTCTTTCGACTTCTGATTTTAAGTGTTGTTTTTTTATTTTGCTACGGGATATATCTCATTCACTACGAGCCACTGTATGAAAATGAACTAATGAGTTTTCTTAGTTATAAACTTTTCTCATTTCTATTTATTAACATTTAGTACAGATCTATTGATTATTGCAGCATGAAAAATAACTAACAACAAATCATTGTTAGGCCAAAACTTGAGCAAAAAAATAAAACAAAACATGTTTATTTTATTAGTAACATGATTGACAAAGGTCTGAAAAATTCTCTGAATTCATATAATACTGAATAAAGGCTTGAAAAATTATCTGAATTCATTTTTCATTCACTAATATTCAAAATTTTAATTATTTTTAATACATGTTACTTTTGTCTAAAAAAAAAATATGATAAATTCTTCTCTGGACGCCGAGAAGACAAAAGCCATTTTGATCGGATCCCCCTCACTCCTCAAATCCTTCCCGGTATCTCCCAATCTCCTCCTGAACAAGTCACCTATCTTATTCCACACCACCGTTAAAAACGTAGGTGTTACTTTTGATCAAACCCTCTCCTGGAAACCACACATCTCCCAAATTTCCCGTCGCACTATCTCCACCCTAAAACAGTTCAATTGTCTACGATATCTCCTTCCATATAAGTCCCATCAACTCCTAGTTTCCTCCCTTGTTTTCCCCCACTCCGACTATGGCTGTATGGTGTATGATGGACACTCGGGAGATTTCGAGGCCAAACTTAAACACCTAATAAATTGCACACTATGATTTGTTTTCGGAATCTCAAGGGATACGCATATTACCCAGTATTACACTGAATTGAGGTGGCTCTACCTATCCTATTGCCATCAGTACTTACTAGCCACCTTTCTGTACAAGATCATTAGAACTCATCGACCCTCCTATGTTTTTCAAAGCTTACAATTCAAATACTCCATCCAGTCCCGTCCCACTAGATCTCATACTTCCGATCTCTATCCTCCTCCTCCTCACTGAACTGCTGCATTTGACAAATTATTTACAATACAAGCCGCCTCCTTCTGGAATTCCATCCTTGCTGATATTCGACACGCTCAATCAGTTTCCTCTTTCAAACCTCTCCTCTTTAAATGCCTACTCCTTTCTCAATCCGACTGATTGCAAAATATACTTAAGAGAAATATCTAAGCATCCCCAGAGACTACCTCAATTTATTTAGGTTATTTTAGTTTCTTATATATATGTACAGTTTTCTTGTTCTTTTCTTTCTCTTCTTCAGTATTTTTATTTTTAGATCGACTCTTATTGTAAATATATAATCTAATTATAATCACACAGACATACAATCTGTACTTATAATTTGTTCTAAAGGAACAACAGTCCCAGAATAATAAAATATTTTTTCATTTCATTATTTAAACTTTAAATGTAGATGAGCGAGAGGGAAGAGAGTAGCGACATTAGCTAACAACTCTTCGTGCCCCTGTGACGGAATACTTTTCATCACCTCAACTCACTACTTTATTATTTTTATTTACGGCATTGTTTCAAACTTTTTTATCTAAATTTTATACAATTGACAAGTTTTTTTTACAACATGACCTCCTATATAATTTTTTAAAAATAAAATATGAATTTTTAAACCTCTAGTTTATATGCACTTGACTTGTTATACAATTTAATTAGTCAAAAAATAAAAATAAAACGGTTTTCTCTCTAAAAAAAAATATTGAAATACATTATTATATTATTAACAAAAGAAGTAAGATAAGCAGAACATTAAAGTCTTTTCTAAAAAAATACTGGTTAAAAATTGTTTATTTAATCTTATTGCGAAATTGATATAATACATACAACGCCTCTTAGAAAGGCTACGAGATGGTTTAAAATTGATCATTGAGCACTCCGACATTTAAAGAGAATGAGTTACTCTTATGTTGCAGTGTTGTCAGATATTTCAAGATAGAAAAAAAAATCATGATTACCATTATTCGAGATCGTCTTTCGGAGGAAGAAACCTCAGCTAATAGTGTTCTTGCATCTATCACGGCCTGGTAAACCCGAAGACTTTCTCCATCAGAAGCGACAAAGCAAGCACTCGGAGAATTCGAAAGATTGCCTAAAGTGGTACTAAAAAAAAAAAATTAAAATACTATAGTATTTTCATTATAATGAAAATATATTTATTGATTGTATAAAATATGTAAAATTATATAATATACACATTTCAATATTACCTAGGTAAAAGAGTTGGTATCCATGCTACATTAGAGAAGGCTGATATCTGGGGCGAATTGATTCTGGCGAGTTCAGAAACACCTCCGGACTTCGATAGTGGTCCGACAGCATCGACTCTCCAAAGAATCAATTCGGAACAAAAACCCTGTTATAGAGAAACAAAAAAATATTTTATATAAATATAAATGCTATTAACAGTACTAAAATAAGCAAAATGCTCGAAAAGATAAATTATAAATAGAATAACTGAAACAAATAAAGCCACGAGTCTATAACATACAACAGTTAACTTACATTACTAACGTTTCGCCAATTCAGGCATCATCAGAGCAGAAAAAACAAGATCAAATAAATGCAGAATAAAAAGAAAGAAAAAAAAATATTGGCTATTGTCATCTCATCAATCCATTAAAAAAGATACTGAAGGAAACAAGAAAGGTGATATTAGTGATATGGTGATATTTCTAGTTGGAAAATTTATAATATCTGTAATACACCTTATTATTATCTTCATGCAGCCTACCATTCCATTACCGCTTTCAAAAAACTAAATGTCAATTGTCATCTATATATAGTACAACCTGTTTTTTTTTGTTTCTTTATCATCATAACCTTGTTTTTACATTTATTCTTACATTTTAAAGTATTCTTTTAAAATTATTGTTTTCTTATAGAGTTATTTATACTTAATAATCTATCCCAACAATATTACACTAATGCTACCCTATTAATCTTTCAATTTCTTCACTTCTTAACCTTTGGTCCCGTTATCTGTTTATTTACAATTAAAGGTAACCTCCACTTGCTTGTTATCCACTGATATCTTATTATTATGTTATCTTATCCATATTTTAACTTTACTGTAACAATAGTTATTCAATTTTCAATCTATTTATTCGTTAACATTCATTTATTCGTTAACATTCATGTATTTATTTTCTTTTATCTATTTTCTTATCATGTATTTATTTTCTTTATCTTTTATTTCTGTATCTGACAACTTCTTCGTAATTTATATATACTTATATTTATTTTTATTTTTTCAACATGTTTGTATCTTTTGTAGCCCTGAAGACGACCTGCAAAGTGGGTCGAAACGTCGGCAAAAATTAAAATTATTTATATATTTTAATTTTTTTATTTATTTGACCGCACCCTCGACTAAATCCTTCTCATATAATATCTGTACAGACAATGAGTAAATTGAATCCAGAATGAGACTCGCGGACGACAGAGGCGGGGTTCGTTGGTTCCATCCATGTGTATGCGGATGATGCATGTGAGATGGAACTGAGGAACCTGTTAGGCACCCAAGCTAGGTCGGGGCGCACGAGCTGAGGCTGAGTGGCAGAGGGTGGGTAAAAATATACTGTCTTGTATCGACCCACTTGAGGAACCGGGCGACACCCCATTTCAAGTAGCCGGCTGCAGGGAGAGGGGGTAGTACCTGCAGTTCCATTGACCCCCATACTCGTGGGAACCAAAATGTTCAATTCAAAACTAACTAAAAAAAATAAATCGTCGGTATCCGAGGAGGACTTGTCCTCCGAGGAGCTTTTAAACTTATCTGAGGTCACCTCAGATAAGATTGATGAAAATCTGGTAGGAGAATTACTACAAACCCTAACAGAAGATGTCGGAACACTTCACGTCCAAACTGACCTTAAGGAGAAGGAGCTGATGGAAGTGGCTTGTGCAATGGTGCAGGCCCAGGAAGAGCACATGGACGTTGAAGAAAGCAATAAGCCAGAAATGGTTAGAAGCCGATCGCATTCTGGACTCGACCACACGGAGTGCGGGGACCACGAGTCAGAAGACTCGAGGCCTGCCACGTGGAGGAAGATAAGGAATGCAAAGAGGCGACTTAGGAGAAGGGCAAAGGCCCTACAACTATCAAGCCCAGAAGATGAGAGAAGGCCACCTTTAGAGAACTCTGCCGAGGAAGCAAGGGCCCCAAAAGGCCTGGCGGACAAGGCAGAGAGTCGTGAAAGGGAGGCCTCAGATCAAGGGCAACTATCTAGCGAACTGGAGCCTACTCAAAGGCAGGCAGTGGAGGATGCAAGGGCCCCAAAAGGCCTGGCAAACGAAGCTGCCGCGCCGGAGGGTAAAGCTCCGATAACACAGGCAGGGGATGAGAAGGACGCATCCAAGAGGCCAGCATCTAAGTTTGCGAGGCCACGTAGGCCAGCAGCTAAGAGTGCGAGGCCTCAAAGGTTGAGGTCTAGATCAGGACTGCCTGTGGAGAAAAGAGCTAGGAAATCCCTAGGAGCCTCAGCTGTGGAAGCTAAGAAACCAAGGGAGGCTGAAAGGCCCAAAAACTACGCAAAGGTTGCGCAAGGACAGTTGGTAGCGGTAGTTCCTGTCGACTACCCGCAGATCCAGCTAACTTATGACCAATGCGAAGACCTAAAAGAAGCAATCGCAAGTAAAATTGACGAGCTCACAATAGGCGGTGACATACATCCAAAGTTCGACGGGGCGCTGTTTAAGCTCGGAGGATGTCTTGTATCCTGCCTAGACAACCATACGGTAGAATGGTTTAGAAGTATAACACCGAGCATCACAATTAAAGAAGGATTAACCCTACGAACTTGTGAAGCAGGTGATCTCACAAAAATCATCAGGATTGGAGCCTACTTTCCAGGAAAGGCACTACCTGCTGATTATTATTTAACTCGGCTCCAGATTCAGAACCAATCCATTACTGGGATAAAAACCTGGACCGTGTTTAACTTCAAGGCTCTGGAAAGAGGATCTTTTGGAGTTTTCAACATACCGGAGACTAGCCTCCAGAGCCTCACTGAACATGGAATGCAGGCCTGCTGTGGGATATATGTTATCACCTTCAGGTTTCTAGCATCAGGAAGTAAACCTGCTCCGGAGGAGATGAAAGAGGAGGCGCCGAAAGCAGGTACATCAAAGGAGAGGGAGAGCAAGGAATCTTCCTCTTCGGGAAGGAGTGCGTCGAGGACGGGGTCGAGGCCGTCGGCTGGGGCAGGAGGCGGGGCTAAGCCAAAGGAACCAGTGAAAACTGGTTGCAGAGGCGAACCCCAGCCACTGTCGCGGTCAGGTGGCCAGACCTCTGTCTCGCGGCACCCATCTAACACTGGTGGTGGTTTGAAAGCGAGGCCGAGAGGCGGGGAGAAACCCAAAGACAAAGTGAAAACTGAGTCGGAGGGAAGAACCCTACCATCGGCCCCGTCTGGAAAACCACCTTCCAGAACATAAAAACAATCAAAATATATGAAACTGCTGCAGATCAACATCCACCACTGCATTGCGGCATGTGGAGTGTTGCAACAGTACATAAAAGGTAACGATATTGATATTATATTAATTCTTGAACCTTACTTATATGAAGGCAGGATCAAAGGACTAAATATGCAGGGGTATGGAATAATATCTGCACCCACATATCCTAGAGCCTGCCTACTTTTTAAAAACAAACTAAAACTGCTGCCTCTATGGCAATTTTGTTCTAGAGATCTTGCAGCAGCCAAATATACCCAACAAGGATATAACAAATCACTAATCATAGCGGCGGTTTACCTGCCATATGAACATCCAGAGCCTGAAGAAGGAATGGATGAACTATTAAAGAGTAAGGAGGAAATTGTTGCTGCCCTGGATGCTAATGCACACAACGAGATCTGGGGAAGCACAAACACCAACTCTAGAGGTGAGAAACTCTTAGAGACTATTATTAAATATGATCTTGATATTCTGAACAGGGGGAATAAGCCTACCTTTTGTAACAGAATTAGGACTGAGATCATAGACATAACACTAGCGACTCAATTGACTAGTGACCTTATAGATAACTGGCATGTCTCTGATGAAGAAACATGCTCGGATCACAGATATATCAGATTTGATATATCTGATAGAATACAACATGATGTGGAATATAGAGACCCTAAGCGAACAAACTGGGTGTCCTATAGTTCTAACTTGGAGGAGGCTGTCAAATGCTGCCCCAAAGTTATCCACAATACATGGCAATTAGAAATATTAAATACTTCAATTACTGATGCTATGACTAGAGCATATTTGGCCAGTAATGAAGCTAAAAAAACTACAACCAACAGGAAAGTGTCCTGGTGGAATGATAGTCTAACAAAGCAAAGAGCACTCATGAGGAGATTGTTTAATGCTTCTAAAAAATCTGGCAATTGGGATACATACAGGAAATCTCTTACTGAGTATCACAAATCTGTCAGGAAAGCCAAAAGACAAGCCTGGAAAAGGTTTTGTCTGGAGGTGGACAACATGCCGGCGGTATGTAAGGTAAACAAAATACTGTCAAAACAAACCAATTCAGGTATAATGGGAACACTCAAATATGACGATAAGCACACCACGAATGAGATAGAAACATTGAGTGTGGTAGCAAAAGCTCATTTCCCAAATTGTTTTACGACAGTAAATGAACTTCTTGACCCCAATACACAGGATCGTGGTACTGGCGCACGTATGTGGGGTCAGGCAAGAAGAGTGATAACAAACAGTAGACTTGAATGGGCAGTGAATTCGTTCTCTCCTTTCAAATCTGCTGGAATGGATGAGATCTTTCCAGCACTGCTGCAGAAGGGTCTCCCAGAAATAAGGCCATACCTTCTGGAACTTCTAAGAGGTAGCCTAGCACTGGGATATCTACCATGTAAGTGGAGGATATCCAAAGTGCGATACATTCCTAAACCAGGAAAGGAATCTTATGAAGACCCCAAGGCATTTAGGCCAATATGTCTGTCATCTTTCTTAATGAAGACATTGGAAAAGATATTGGACAGACATATCAGGGAACACATATTGGCTACTAGTCCAATACATTCAAAGCAATATGCCTACCAACCAGGAAAATCCTGTGAGGTGGCGCTTCACAACTTGGTAACAAGAATTGAGAAATCCTTAGAACAGAGTGAAATCATGATAGGCGTCTTCGTTGATATCGAGGGTGCCTTTGATAGGACTCCCTATAACATCATAAATGATGCGCTAAGGAAAAAAGATATAGACGCTATGACCTCCAGATGGATTGGGAGAATGCTGGAGGACAGAGTTCTAAAATCAGAAATAGGGCACAAGGAACTGTGGATTAAACCCTGTGGGGGATGTCCTCAGGGAGGTGTGCTCTCTCCACTACTG